CATTCATATTTTTTTTTATCAAATGTGATAAATACACAAATGAATGCAGGCATGAATGAATGAAGAAAGCTCATGACTTTCCTTCTAACCTGATTTTACTAAATGTGATTTGTACTAGCAAGACATACCATGACTATGCCTCTTCTACATAGGAAGTTGGTTGATAGGACATGCTTCGGTTTAATTTGTCGTGGACACTGAGATTACCTGGGAAATAAGATACAGAGTGGGACATAAAATGGAGTGACACCCAGAGGCCAATACAGACTAGGAAACTTCATGTTATACCCAGCCCAGATGAGAGTCCAGCGCTTTCTTAGAAGAAAACTCCTTAGGGGCTGGGAAGGTGGCTCAATGGTAGAGCACTTGCCTTGCATGCATGAAGCCCTGGGTTCGATTCCTCAGCACCACATATGTAAAAAGAAAAAAGCCGGAAGTGGCGCTGTAGCTCAAGTGGTAGAGGCTAGCCTTGAGCTGAAGAGCTGAAGGACAGCGCCCAGGGCCCAGAGTTCAGGCCCCACGACTGGACCCCCCCCCCCCGCCAAAAAAGAAGAAAACTCCTTAGAGATAGTACAACCAGCCCTGGAAATGTGATAAGTAATTATGTTGCTTATTAAAGAAAAAAAAAGACAACAGTTTGTGAATGTTAATGATCAATTGAAAAATTAAAAACCTATCAAATCAAACCTTCCAAATACTTCATTGCTTAATATTATATAGACAGCCTAAATCCTAGGGCCATGAGCCCCACGTTTATATGCAACGTTTGAAATATACAAGTAACAGATTTTCTCTTGGGTACCAGTGTGGGGAGAAAAAAAAATCTCTGGAAATAGATTTATGTATTAGTTTTTCACTCTGCCACCAGATGTCCTTCATGAGTAGGAAAATATGATGGCTCAAACGATATTTTGAAGTGACTGTGTGGTATATCTGAAAACATAGCGAAGGGAGGAAGAATGAGTGTTTGGGGACCACACACTGGTGGATGCAGCGTGTATTTTGGAGCTGAGCACCAGTGGCTTATGCCTGTTATTCTAGCTACTCAGGAGACTTGAGATTTGAGGATCACAGTTCAAAGCTTGAGCAGGAAAGTCCATGAGACAATTATTTCCAGCTAACCATCAAAAAGCTAGAAGTGAAGCTGTGGCTTATATGGTACAGTGTTAGCCATCGGCAAAAAACAAAACAAAACAAAACTCAGGTCAAGTCCCAAGACTGACAAAAACAAAAACAAAAAAAACACATGTATTAGGAGGCTGCTGTCTAGGTCTCTCTTTCAGAAGTCATATTTAACTCTCAAATTTTCTTTTTTTCACATCCAGCAAACATTAACCTAACATAGTTTCTTTTTTTTGTATAACTCCAAATTTATATTTTAAACTGAGCAAATTATTATGTATTAGAAAGTAGTATTGAAAAGGCTCCAGCTTCTACTACTTGTAATGATGAAAATTTAGAAATTCCCAAGGATTCTAGAAGGAAAGAACTCAGACTTTTAAACACTGTATCCACATAGTTTTGGATACTTGGATGCTAAATTAATTCTAAAAGCTGTGATATAGAGATTTAAAAAGGCAGCTAAATGGGACTAACATATGATTTAATGTAAAATCCAAGACTATTTGTAGTTTATGACTAATAAGATAATTCACAGCAAAGTTGGGGTGTTGAATATTTAACACAGCAAATGAATAAGCAGCATCTTTTGAAATAAAAATTTGTTGGCCAAGTATGTAATAAGTGTATAACCCAAACCTTCGTAACATATAAGGAATACAGACATATTTTTTGTGCTGGTTCTGGGACTTGAACTCAAGGCCTGGGTGCTGTTACTTAGCTTTTTAACTCAAGGCTGGCACTCTACCACTTGAGCCATAGCTCTATTCCTGGCTTTTTGGTGGTTAATTGCTTTGGACCATGATCCTCAGGTCTCAACCTCCTGAATAGCTACAATGACCGGCATGAGCTATTGGTATCCTGCAGACAACCACGTTTGAAGGAATTCCCTGTGTGTGTCACACTGTGGCAGTGTTGCAAACATGTGAGTACAGGCTTCCCACCCTGTCCTCAGTGTCAGTAGACCAGGGCCTCATGGTGAGGGTGCCTCATTTCTTCATGAAGTGGGGCAGGGGTGGGACAGGCAACCTAATTCCAGAAACTGAGGCCATCTGCAGGAAACGTCAGCCAAGCAACCAGATGTTTGCTATGGGTTGGCTCCCACATCTGGCTTCTTGAGCAAATTCCTCCCCTGTTCCCCCACCTCCAGATGTTTTAGAGACTCCTACAGAGAATTTAATGAAGCTTCTCCTGGGCTTACAGAGGAAGGGGTGGGAATATCTTGGTGTCCTGCAGGGGGCGAAATTACCTCTGATTTTTCTCAAGGCATTCATACACATTGCAGAGGGATTGCAAAGCCAGATCTGCTCCTCTCCCTTCAAATCACCTCTACTCCCTTGAATCACATGTGGACTTTATTAGCCCCCTGTTCTGAAATGCTGGGGAAGCAACTGGGGTCAGAGAAATGGGGAGCAGGTGAAGTATTGGTTAAGGGTTCTTTATTCTCTTAGAATTCCAGTTGATGCTGAGAAGCAAGCAGTGATCCTGATTTTGAGGTTAGTGAAAAGTTAGAACAAGAATTTCTCCTGGCAGGCAAAACAGTCACAAGGGAAGAAGAGTAGACAGTAGATACAGAACAGATCTGCTGGGGGGCTTTGAATGGGAAGGTCCTTATAATCACTGCCATCCACTTCACATCTTTATTTTCAGGTTTCCACTGGCCCTTGAGGAAAGTCTGTGCTCTTGTGCTCATCATCTGGAGGTACCCTCAGCATCCCTTATTCTCAAACTATTCAACAGTGACAGAGTCCCCCTTGGTGGGGGTAGATATGTGAGGAGCCGATGACAGACCTGGATCAGGGTTGCTACTTAAATGTTTCATTGATAATGCTTCACCAAATGTTATTTTTAGCTCTTGTCACACAGGTCCATGTCTCTCCAAGTATCTAAGTAAAGGGGAGATGAACCTGTGGCCAGTGGCTCACACCTGTAGTCCTAGCTCCTTTGGAGACTGAAGTTTGAGGATTGTAGTTCAAAGTCAGCCTGGGCAGGAAAGCCTGTGAGACTCTAGTCTCCATTTAATTACCCAAAAGAGCCAGAAGTGGAGCTGTAACTCCAAGTGGTAGAATACTACTCTCTACCAGTAGCCTCTAGCTTAAAGACAGTACCAATCCTGAGTTCAAGCCCCAAGACTAGCACAAAATATAAAAAGAAAGAAAGAGAAAAGAGGAGATAAGCTAGGTGTTGGTGGCTCATATGTATAATCCTAGCTACCCAGGAGACTGAGAACTGAAGATCACAGTTAAAAGTCAGCCCAAGTGGCGCTGTAGCTCAAGTGGTAGAGCGCTAGCCTTGAGCTGAAGAGCTGAGGAACAGTGCCCAGGCCCAGAGTTCAAGCCCCACAACCAACAACAACAACAAAAAAGTCAGCCCAGATACACATGTTCACACATACATACACATACACACACATACACACACACACACATTCAGAGAAAAGATAAGCTGACACTAGTGTGTATCTGTACAGGGTTCCCATGACATTTATCCCTATAGAGGTGTATACAACACACAAGTCACAACTTGCTTTTGTGTCTTAAATCACATGGTTTTACTAAGTATCCTCACAGTGGTTTAATGGTTTTCCAGTGTTCCCATGGCGTGGAGCTGCTTTTAGTCTACATGCCACTGGAAGTCTTATGAAGAGTGTGAAAAAGAGGCCCTTGGTAGGAAACCTCTAGTATTCGCTTAGACTTAAGATCTCTGAGTGGAATTCATGGCTGCTGTGGACACTGTGGTAATGATTTAATGCTTGTATCATGTCCTAGATTGAAGAAAGAAATGAAGCCACTTCTTGAATTGTAGGAATCCTGGCATCCTAGTACCACCTAGACTAGCCATGTATTCTCCTCTCAGGTGAAATAGATCCCAAAGATGGTTTAAGATTGGCCTTCAGTGTTGCTGAAGTGGTATGGCATGAAATCAGCTACTTTGGGACATTTGTAGAATTAGAGACTCCTAAATGACCACTATGCCTGAGCCATGATAGATCTAGAAAAGGATCCAATAGATGGCTGAAGATAATGGCCTTTACCTACTCAAAACAGGTTCTTTATAATAAGGAAAGAAGGCATAGAAATCCCATGATCTCCTACCTTGACAAATCTTACAGTTTTTATCTATTTATGTTATTCTCAAATGCCTTAGACCATGTGAACTATGGCTACCCAGTCAGCAAAATGTAGTTTTTATTTTCTAACCCATACCACCTTTCACCAGGTAAAAGAATCCAATGTTTCAAGGTGATATTGCTCCTACAGTCCATTAGTGACTGGATAGTGTACTGGTAAGTGAATTCCTCTATATACTGTCAGATGCTGGTGGTGGTTATATTGTCTATGGCTTACAACAGTCTGTGTTTGGGGGTCCTGCCTGTTATCCTCTCACCCCCACCCCATTTAAGATATACATCAAGCTCTCACCCGTAGTGTGATTGTCTTTATTTTGCGCTATGCAAATTAGACTGTATGTCCGTATGTAAAGTACAATGGTAACTGAGAATATGGAGAACCATTGAGGCAGTAATAACGAGGTAAGGATGGCTTTTCTATCATATTAGCAGATTGTACCCTCCTCCTTTTGGCTGCTAGCTTAAGAAGCCAAATGAAAGCCCCAAAGCAGAGACAAGTCAAAATATTCCACCCGAAATCCTCAGGACTCTGTCTGTCTCTGGCAAGTTTGCTAGGCAGTTTCCTCGGAGGGTGTGTCTCAACTTCTAGCAGCTGTCTTTGAAAGCCACGTGTCCGCAAACGCCTACATTACATCAATAAGAGACACTAAGGAGGGAAGAAGAAAACTGTCCTTCCCAGCCCCACCCCCTCAATCCATGCGGTATTAACTAAATGCGCTTACTTTTATTAACTCAACTTCAGCCTCCGATAATGATAGGACCAGAGAAAGGTTCGGACGGGGGGAGGTGAACAGAACACTTTAACTAGCAATGACCTCTCTGCCTTTGCTACCCGCAGCTCCTCCCGCGCCTGCAAAGAATTCCCGGCACTTGAAACCTACGCGTAGCAAGGCTAAGCCTCTCTGGAGGGGGAGGGTGGAAGAAGGGGGCGTGTCTATTTAAATAGCCTTCGATACTCGTCTTCCTATTGGCTGTCAGCCTGTCGGTTACCCAGAAGGGCGGGGAGTCCGGAGGCTGGAGTGCTGTACCTGAGCTAGGCGCACGGCAGAAAGCCCACGTTGGCTTGCCTGCTGCCCGCAGCGCTGCGCCGGCCGAGCAGCGGGAGACTGTGAAAACCAGGGCGGACGCCGAATCCTGTGATCTGTTCGCTCACAGGTTCCTTTCCTTCTCTGCAGTCTGCCAGCGGGGTTTGCTGGGCAGCCGAGAGAGATCGCCGAACGGAAAGCGAGCTCTTGGCCGCCTCCGCTTGGGGAGGCGCGCGGGGCGCAGAGACTAGGGGAGGGTGGCGGCGGGGGGGGGGGGGCGGAGTTTGCGGGCGAGAAGGAAGTTCAGCTCCGTGGAGAAGACTGGCATTTCAGGACGCCCTGAAGCCACCGGCTGGGCCCTCGGGGCGCAGTGAACTTCACCGCAGCCTCGCAAGCCGGGAGGAGGCGTGCGCGTGGACGATGCCGGGCATCGCTCCGGGTTCCTGAAAGTCAGCCCCGCTCCCCGACGCCCCACTCCTCGGCCAGCTGCTCCGGAGAGCTCGGGGGCAGCGCACGTGTGCGGACGGGGAGTGACCGCGCCGTGACCCGCCCAGGGGCCAGGGCGTCGGCCGCCGCGCGGTCCTGAATCGGACGCACCTGGCTGGGACCGTGCGCTTGTTTCAGAGACTTGCCCGGGAGCGCGGGGCTCCCCCCTCCCCTCCCCCAGCGATCGTCTCTTCGCCTCCCCTCCAGCCTGGGCTACTTTGGGGGCGCCCCCGGACGACCATGAGAGATAAGGACTGAGGGCCAGGAAGGGGAAGAGAGCCCGCTGAGAGGTGGCGGGGGCGGATCACACCCAGGGCCACCGCGGCCTCGCTCCGCAGCGCGACGCCCCGCGGTCCCCGCGGGGGTAGCCCGGCCGGGCTGGGATGCCGGGGC